GCGGACGCTGAGCGTAGGTAATGAGGGGCGATGGCAGGGCAGGGGCCGTGCCCCGCAGCTTTGGGAACGCCGTGGAAAAGTTGGGGAAAAAACAGCAGTGGGAGAGCGGTACCTGTCCCCCTGGGTGGTGTTTCCACTGTTCCCCCTCTTCCTGGCTGTTCTAGGAGGATTTAAATCACAACGCCGGCTCAGGTTTGCCTTGCCCGCTTGCTGAGGTAACTCCGGTCAGCCTCAGAAAGTGAATCGGAAATATTACATTCCTCCCCAGCGTCACCTTCTGGGTGTTCTTACCTCCCTGTTATTAAAAAGCCACACAGAACAGACATTGAGTGGTTTTTTGGGGAGGAGGAAGAGTGATTAAATGCACCATTCTGCTTGATGCAGAATTTTGGTCTAAAATAGTGATCTAAGAAGCTACCTTACAGTATTTGCCTTTTTAATGATAGCTTGAGGAAGTGACTTTGTTTCCTTACTATTCAGTAATAAACACAAAAACATTTCTAAGAATGTTTCCATTCTTAGAAGAAATTTCCATTCTTAGAAGATGAAAAGACACATTTTTGTCATGACACCTTTTCAAATCTGGCTTTGTTTTTGTACATGTAATTGATTGATATTCTAAAAAATCCAAGTCTTTTCAGCATTGTAGTCAAGGATTATTATAAAATGTGTGTAAATTGAGACTTTTAGTTACCTGATACCTGCTGATTTTAAAATACAATGCTTACCTGCCACAAGCCCACTTCTTGTCAATGATTTAAAATAATTCAGTCAAATTAACTGTGACATTTACTTTCTTTTTGTATTGCAGAACATTCACTGGAATCCTCAAAGAATAAGGTAAAAGATATTAGAGATTAAACTTCTTTCAGAACCAGATCACAGAAGACCTGCGTTTACCTTTTGAGGGTGGGGGGAAGTGAAGAAATAAAAGGCACAAAGGAGAGAACAGGATTTTGGGTTCTGAATGCTGGGGTGAGTTGAGGTTTCTCAAAAATACCCCCTGAAGGATTACCTTCTCTTTAGCAGCCAGTCAGACAAGCTGTTACACAGAGCTCCTGCTCTTGGAGAGGGTCAGTTCTCCCTGTCACAACCATCTTTCACTGTTTTTGAACAAACTAAAGCTGTGATATAGATAAATATGAAGCAATTAAATGCAGTGTGTACTTGAAGTGGCTTGAATTGTTGAAAAAAATGTAATGCAAGTTTGCAGGTAAACATTTAACTGATAAGCTCATGCCAGTTGTTGTTGCAGGTAGACATACTAGCACTTTAAACCCTCAAATTTGTATATCTCAAGCAGAACTTTTCCTCTTTAGGCAGCAAGATGAATATTCTTTATTCTAGCTGATCACTGCAATGTGATTTTGACAGAGAATTAGTAACTGCCACAAGCATCCTCATGTTTCAGCAGAGCACAGTATGGATGGGCCTTGAGCATCTCTTAACTAAATTATGTCAAATATATTTATTTTTAAATATTCATTTTTAAGAGAGTTAACCTTTTGCTTTACTGCAATGAAGCTGCTTTGGTTTTAGCATGAATTGTATTAAAGGTTGCATTGTGACCATAAAAAGCTCAGAGGATGGAGTTAAATTGTTGTGAAGTGATTTTTAGGTGGGCAGTGCACAATCACTATGAGCAGTGTTTTCCCTCAGCTTTGTTGGTTCAGCATCTCCTCATTCTGAAGCATGATTTCCTTATTGAAGTTTTATCACTTTTGCTCCTCAAGAGCTGTGTTCATTTCAGATGGATTAGGAGGAACACGTTTCAGTTTTACTATTATTCTATTTTTTTACTATTTGAAAGCAAAGGAGAGCCTAGACTAAACAACTCTGGAGCTGTTTATTGATTCTTTGTGGCTCTCCTGTTTAAACACTGTTGTGTACACTCTGAGAAAGTTACAAATGATGTTTTTATGTAATTGTTATAGATTTTTATATGCTATTTGAGCCCATTTATGATGAACACTTGCAATAAATTAACTGTTTTCCTTTTGTAGTAAAGAATGCATTCATGGTAGGCTTACAGAAGCTGAGAAATAAGAGTAAAGTAGATGCTAGACTTCTGCATTCCTCATGAAGTCTTTCCCTGTGTTTTTTCCTAGGTTTTAAGAAATGCTGTACATGTTGAGGAGGGTGAAGTGGAGAAGTGTGTCAGAGACATAATGAAAGAGAAGAGAATTGAACAGAAGGATGCAGGGTATGTTTGGAACCCAAACATGAGTTCTTCATATCAGACAACGTTGACTTCCTTGCTCAATCTGATACAATATTAAAGCCATTCAGCACAAATCTTTAGAACTAAATTAGAAAATAAGACATGGTTATGTCTAGAAGATAAATGAGTCTTAATCAACATGGATTTGGGATAACTGCATCTCTATCTTGCAAGTCTCTTCTGTTACTTCTTATTTCTAAGTAATATTATTATTGCATAGGTTGATAACATGAACTGTGTCACTGATTATATTTGAAAGAGTATAGTGATGCCTAATTAATGCCCAATTAATTTTTGCATTCATCTGCATAAGTAATTACAAGCAACTGAGAGGAAAAAACTGGGAAAAGTAAAAATTTTAAAGTTTAATGAAAAGCATCTGTGAAGCTGTATCTCTGTCAAAGCTTCACTTTAGGACTTGGAAAAATTTGGGGTGTAGGTAAACGTACAGTGGTCCAGGTGACCCACAGAGTTTTCCTGTGGCATTACAGATTTTAGCCAGATTTTTTTCTTCCTATAAGTGAATAGGGCTTGACTGTGCAGCACTGGAACTGGCTGGAGTTTTAAGTAGAAGCAAGATCCATAGAGCAGTACAGAGCATGTTGTAGTTTGAAAGATAAACATAAAGCACTCCCTCATTATGTTTGCAGTGTATTAATGCAAGAAGGGTCTTGCTGGTCGCTCCAGCAAAGATTTATGGCCAGCTATGCCCCAGTAATAGCTTCTGCTGGAGTTTTAAGTAGAAGCAAGATCCATAGAGCAGTACACAGCATGTTGTAGTTTGAAAGATAAATATAAAGCACTCCCTCATGTTTGCAGTGTATTAATGCAAGAAGGGTCTTGCTGGTAGCTCAAGCAAAGATTTATGGCCAGCTATGCCTCTGTAATAGCTTCTGTGTGGTGTTCTGTTACTATTTCAGGTTTCAGACCACTCTGCGTGTCTCCTTACTGCAGATATCAGGCTATAAAAAACTTTATCTGGCTGTGGAGAATCTGAGGAAGGTCCCATATGATTCAGACAACGACGAACACGAGCAACAGTTAATTGAGGTGAAAATATTAAGTACAAAAGCTGCTTGTTTGTTTGCTTCCCCTCCAAGTCTAACAGCTTGAATGAACTTAATTTCTTGGTGGCACTCTTACCAGCTGGCCTGTTTAAAGCTCTTTTCCACTTGTGGGCTGCTAAGCCATTCCACAATACTATACCAAGGCAAAATAAAATGGTAAACTAGAGTTTACTGTGTAAGAGTTACTTACACTAGGATTGTTTTCTATGAAATCAGATGTAACAACAACACATAAATAGTGAAATAATTTTGTAACGGGTCACTGAAGGATCAGAAATAAAAAGATATTTAATGTTATGCACGTGTCTAACTTTGCAAACTAATAATTACTAAAGAAAAAGGACACTGGTGTTTTCTTATTACTGCATCCCAGTCAGTGTCAAAGCAGATAGTTTAATGCTGGAAGATAATAATGATCAGTAAAGCACTGTAGGTAACAAAATAATAGCAAGCAATTAATATAATACTGCTTGAGGCTTTTAAAAATAGCTTCTACTCTGCCTGTGTTTTGGCATGTCATGATAATCTCAACCTTTCTGTGCAAGTCCCAGCATGAACATGTTAAATAAGCATTGAGAATTTGTATTTCAGTTTGTAGCTGTCCTGTCAGAAAATGACACAGGGAAACAAGTCTGTTCAACATCAATACAGTAGCTCTGTCCATGAAGGGACCTTATCACATTTAATTTTAAGTAATCATTTTCATAGTTGCCTAAATAAGCCATTGGAATATGACTCTAGATTGCCACTAACAGAGACCAAGTGTGGGGATTGTGTCCTGTTCCTTGGTGAATGGTTTCTAACCTGGATCAGTGTGCTCTGAATTTTGTGACTTGGAATACTTTAGCAGCTGTGCATAACATGGAAGCATATTTGTGCAGCTCTGGAATTTGTTGATGCCTCATGAGAACCTGAAGGCCAGAATCAGCAAGCAGTGGTGTGACATTGGCTTCCAAGGTGATGATCCCAAAACAGACTTCAGAGGAATGGGCCTGCTGGGGTTAGTGAATCTGGTGTAAGTGAAAAGTAGTATTTAATTTCCACTGTAACTAATTCTCAATATCTGTGTGTTTTCTCCAGTTAGAGCTATTTCTAATGAAGACTGAATAGAAGCTAGTAGAAATGGTGACTTCTGTACAGTGAAAAACTATTTTCTGACCCAGTCAGCAGTTCTGGCAGCTGCACATCTGTAAACATGTGGTTGGGTAGAGGCCACCAGATGAGGGGAGGGACAGAAAGTTGCCCAAGGCACCTTATTTTTTTGTTGTCATATGATAGACTTGATAGGTTATAACTTGGTAAATTGTCAAAAGCTTTTAAAATTCCTGAATTACTGTAATGAAAAATAAACAGCTCTGCATAATGTTGCCAAGCTAACTTATGGACTTGGGTGAACTTTGTCTTTGATGCTCAGTTCACAAGGATGATTTTTTTTCCCCCCCTTTTTTTACCGTATTCATTCATACTGAATATAAATTGCTACCTTCTCCCTGGCTTTCATCTTGTGCCATTTTTCAGTACAGAGTAGTATTCAGCTTTAAACTAAAGCTACACATTTTGATGTTGAACACCTTAATATTTTTTTAAGTGAACTTAAATTAATGCTGAGCCTGTTTTGCTCTGGCAGGTATTTTAGCAAGCACTACACCAGCGAAGCTCGGCAGATCCTTTCCCGTTCTAATCACCCAAAGCTGGGGTAAGTCACTACAGGACTTCTTCTGGCTTGGTCTAAGAGCTCATGTAAAGGCTGCCAAGTAGGGATCCTGAAAATAAACAGGAAAATATTTGTGTTTTTTTTTTTTTTCCCCTTTAAAGGATGAAAAAAGAGCCAATGTAGAAAGGCTTGAGAAACTGAACGCAGAAATCAGTTTCTATTTTTACCAAAATAGACTTGGGGTGACAAAAATACTGGTGTTGGTTAACCCAGTGAACACCTCCAACATCACAGTTAGCTTCATTTGTAATATTAGATTTAGAAATTGATGCTTATTTTTCACCTTCTTACTGATCCTGTGTTAGGATATTAGATTTTAAGGTCCATATTGTTTTGCTAGGTTTCTGTTCTGTAATAAGTAAATACAAATAGATGTTGTGTTGATCAGCTTCATTTTTGAAAAGTTGGCATATTGAAATATTTAGCTTCTTTTACAGGGAAATATACAGTAAACCCAGTCAGACACAGAGGAAAGCTGACAAACCTGTGGATGTCACCTGATCCACCCCAGTTAACTCAGTCACCCACCAACAACAAGAGGCTTTCATGACTTCAGCTGTAAATAATATTACCATGTACAACAAGGTCATGAATAGGATATCCAAGACATTTAGATCAATTAAATACCCATACCATTGACACAAATTAATCCTTTTTTTCCCTTCCCCTAGAAACACTTGCTTAAACACTCCTTTTAAGGATTTCTATTGTGGTGCATTCTATACCATGCAACAGAAACCCAGATTTTTTTCAGCTTAAAGAGCAGGCTGAGGTGGCCATTCCTTTTATACTGTAACAGTGCTTTTGAGGTCTGCTTTTTAATACTCTGGCAGATTTAATGATTTCAAATGAGCAAATTGAGGTCCCTGTTGATTAGCCTTCCCATCTCATTATTGCCTGATGGAGGCATTTGCCATACTGTTGTATAGGAAACTGGTGGCTTTAAGTAACTTTTACATGGTAGTGTTTTAAAGTAATTTTTACATGGTTGGATGCACCAAGGAATGGAAAGAGAGGTCTCTAGGCCAGAGTCAGCTTGTCAACAAGCACCATAGCAAAAAGTGACTCTGAACAGTTCTCCTGCAGACAGTTTGAGGGGAGTTAAGTCCTTCAATCCCCAGGATAAAAGCTGACCTGTGATTGATGTTGCAGATACTCTTATGCAATAGTTGGAATCAATCTGACAGAAATGGCTTACAGCTTACTGAAGAATGGTGCTTTAAAGTCTCACCTGTACAACACAGTCTCTGGATTGCCACAGATGGAACACTTCCATCAGTTTTACTGTAAGTATCTACAGCTTCTTTAGTCCAGACTGCCAGGGCAGGGGTCAAGCTACAGTGGAGAGCTCAGGTTTCTTGGAGCTCACTTCCACTCTTTTCTCATTAGCCAGAGCAAGCTGCTTATCTTCTAGATCAGGTATTAGAAATGCACCTGGTGCTTAAACATTGTGCTACAGAAACGAACATTTATGGGATAAATTTGGTTGATTTTCTCTATGTTAGAAGGCTGCAGTCTGCAAACACAGGATTTGCAGGTTTACTTTTTTATGCATTATTGCAGTGACCAAAAGCTTGCTGTTGATGAGGATGGGACAGTCCCTGTTGTACAGGACTGAATAGTCTAAAGGATCATTCCAGGTCAAGCAAGATCAAGGCAGAAAGTTGTGAAGGTCACTTTTGCAGATCTGTGTTTTATTCTCTCCACAGGTTATCTGGTTTATGAGTTTGACAGGTTCTGGTTTGAAGAAGAGCCAGAAAGCATTATGCACTTCAACCACTACAGAGAGAAATTCCATGAAAAAATTAAGGGACTCCTACTGGATTGCAGTGTGATACTAACCTTAAAAAGTACAAAGAGCCCTTAACCCCTCTGCAGTTTATGAGGTTCTGCATCCAGAATGGAAGCACACATTTGGATGGAAGTTTTGCATGTTTCACCAAAAACTGTTTAACAGCAGAACTTTTTTTTTTAACTTTTTTTTTTTTAAAAAAAAAAAAAAAATCAAATTTCAGTTCAGAAAGCTTGGACAATCAACCTCTGTTTACAGGTCTTTATATGCTATTCTCCAAAGGATGGGTTTTCTAAAACAAAAGCAAAACCAACCAACATAAAAAACCAACCCCTAAATCTCAAAAGCCTCTGGAACAGTCGCTCTCACCATTTCTTTTATACTTCTTGGTGCAGGAAGGTGAAGCAGGTACTTAAAACTGTGTCATGGTTTTCATTAAGAGGTTTTACTGTTAACTGTCTTTTAAAAATTTGTTTTAAATTACTCTAAAAAGTTTTGGGTTTTAAATGTTTTAGACCTTTTGTGTTCTTGTTCTGTACGTGCAGTTGATCGTGAGCTCTTCAGTGTTAAATGTCTTGGTAACAAAGAGGTCCACAAAGGGGAGATGTCAGTCACTTATGATTTTGGAGAAGAGGCTAAAACCATCAACATACTGATGGACTTCCTAAAAATTACTTCTGGCTAGTGAAGGTTTTTTTACTTATGGATTTGTACCAGCAAAGTTCTATGCCTGGAAAAAGCTCAGTTTGTGAACAAACAAAAAAGAGCCACAAATCATCAGTGTGAGGATCAGACTAAACCTACTCCTAAAAATACTCCTACTGTAAAAATTTTCTGTTGTCTGACTTCAGCTGCCCAGGCTGCTTCACTTTGCCTCTGTTGTCAGCCCTTTCTTTCAGCAGCAGATGGGGTCTTCTCAGTGGGCAATAAGAGAGTTAGTTTAGCCCTTTTATAAAGTTCACTCTTTAAAAACCTTTATTGCAGCTGCAGTCCTTGTTTTATAAAGATAAATTCACCCCCAAGTACACATCTCTACAAAGATGTACTTTCCATGGAAGGGGTGCAGCTGATGTCCTTAACATTGGCATCCTCAGACAATCTAGTCAATAGGACTTCATATCTATATTGTGACCAATTATTGCTTAAAGCAACTTGAAACAGATTTGGTATGATCTTCACTTTCTAAAACCTACTATTAAAAAAAAGTGCCTTCTGCTTATTCAATCAGTGTTTTATTTTGATTCTGTAACCAGAGCATAGCCTTAGAAGCTCAAGTTATTTGGGAAAGACTCTTTCAGTGTATACCTAAATAGCACACAGTGGCACAAAATTTGTATGCTAATAGAAGCTTTCCTGCCTTTTTGTTTTTTTAAATCATCTCAGGTAAATTAGTTAAGTTTAGTCAACAACTAATCACTAAGAAATTCCTGAAGAATACAAAAAAAAAAATACAACCCTGTTTTTGCAGTGAGTGGTGTTACACTACATAAGTATTAAATGTCTTACTGTAATATGTAATAGTTCATCATCTTGGAGATAACCAAAACCCAAGAGACAAGGTGCTCAGCAGCCTGCTTTAGGTGACCCTGCTTTGGCAGGGGGCTGGAAGAGATGGTTTCCAGAGGAGCCTTCCCACCTCAGTAATTGTGAGGCTGCATTGTGCACCCACCCTGCTCTTGATCTGGTAGATGTTGGTCATCTCTTCTTTGTGGGAAGGCTCCTGGTCAGGGTGGACACTGTGCATCTAGGAGGTAACAGTTCTGTTTTCTTTTTGTGATACCTCAGGTGTAGATGGGAGTTAAACAGTTCAGCTTTAACACGTGCAGGCTGCAGATTCATCTCATCTGTGCTGGGTTAATGCTACTCTACTAAGAAAAACCCAGCATAACTTGAAGGTGCTTGTAGGGAGAGCACTTATGGCTGTGCCATGGCTTGTAGGCTGAGCAGCAGAACTGACCACAGGAAGCCCAGTGCTCCTCCCAGACAGTTCTGGGGTCCAGGTCCTGCAGCAGGGCTCTTCCTCTGAGCCCTGTAGATACTGGACTTTGCTTCCCACTTCCTTCCTCAGATTTTAGGAGACTCTTGCCCTGTGGCCAAGAGCTTTGTTTCAGCCTTTCCAGCCCCAGCTTCTGTCATGTTTGCCTTCATTAATCATTTTCTCTGTTGCTTGTAGATCTTTGCAAGCAACACAAGACTGACTTGGAATTTCAGAATTTTGTAATTGGGTGACCCCAATGCCTTTAGCAGCAGCAGCAGGAAAGGAGATGCCACCCTTTGTTTTCATCTACTGCTTGCTAGGAACAAAGCTTCTTGAGGCATCTCCCTAAAATAAAAACCCCTCTGTGCTAGGGGCTGCAACTGCTTTTTGTTTTCTGGCAAAAGTCACACAAATAGTCTCCACCCTTCATCTTTCAGCCTTGAAACAGTCTCTTGGCTCCTTGCTCCCTGACATGGACAGCTGAGGCTTTTAAAGCCCAGCCATCAAGTTCCAGATTCTCTGTCACACACCCAAGAGTAAGCCTTGGCAGCTTCCAAGAAGAAAAAGTGATCCAAACTGTGAGGAGATGAGCGAGCTGTGTGGGAACACCTCAGTTGGCATGCTGTAGTCCAGGGCTGGGGCTCCAGGACACCTTCCCAGTAACCAGTTCAGAGCTGCACGTGCTGTAGGACCACGCAGCCCCCTTGTCCAGTCTGGGAGTCACTGTGTGTAGACTAGTACTGGGTGTCCCCATTTTGCACCAGTGGTAGGCTAGTTGTATTGTGGTGGTAGCTAGAAAATCCATGGAAAAAGGGAAAATTGTGGTTTGGGGGAGAACAATGTTTTACTAGGGAACAGGATTTGATACTGACTCTGTTGTAGGGCAACAGTCCTAAGGTCATGGAAGATGCAAAATGGAGGTAGGCCACCTTTCTGCAAGCTGATCTAATCAATTTGTTAACTGCTAGAATTTATTGCTCACGTTTTATTCCAAGTCTTAAAACCTTGGTAAATCCTCTTGTTATTTATTAAGTGTCATGTTTCAAACTGCATACTGTCTTACTAGAATTTGCAAGGACTGTTTTCTAACTTGCTGCCTCCTCAAAGCATTCACTGTGTGAAAGCTTATATGCAATAGAAATTTTAGAAAAAAACAAATAATCCAAGTACAACAAGGTGGTTCTCTAAATTTTTTTGTTGTTTCTCCTGTAGCAACTGTTTTAACAAACTACCTCCACTTCTTTGGTTTAGTGTGTGCTTGAAACATGGTGCAACTCTACAGATTGATCTGAAGACAAGTAGAAGTTTAGCACAAGCAAAAAGGAAAATCTAGTCCTAAGTAAACACATGGCTTCAGAAGTCACCAAGTTGATTGGAAAGCAGTTTGAAGACAGTGCTACTTAGGAAAAAAGAATGTTTTTAAACTGGTTGTGCTTCTGTCAGCTGAGACAGCAGTGTAAAGAATAGGGCATTTTGGCCTAAAGGTCAATAGGACCTATTTCAGCCCCTCAGATAAATGGGTTTGGATTTTCACTCTTTGAAAAATGAACAAACAAACAGCAAAAAAAAGTGTAAAAAGCCCCAAGCATCAATTTTCCAGATTTTCCATCCCAGTTTAAACAACCATTTTATAAAAAAAGTAGTGGTTAGCCTTGTTTTAATTGTGATCAGAGAAGTTTGTGTTTAGTTAGGTGGGAGTTGAGCAGTGAGGATGCCTGACAGCACTGCTAGGTACAGGTGGTAAAGGTGTCCCCTGTTGTTTCTGTCAGTCATGCTAGTTCTGTGTTCTGTAGGACGATGGTGATGGATCTTTGGGCTGTGTCTCGTGCCAGTCTGTGTGTTGTCTTTCTCCAGGGAAGAAGAACCCCACCCAAGACAGCTCATGGGCAGTTTCTTCTCACCACACTGTGCTTAGATAGCTGCATACTAATAGACACTTCTGTTTACCACAGTCTGAAAGCAATAATGTGAGCTGTGATGTCTGTGTAATAGAAGGGGATGTTTACAATGGTAGCAAATAAAGAACGAGTTATTCCAAAATCCTGTCAGCATCAGTGTTGCTTGTTAGAAAAAGAGTCTCCTGTAGCCACACAGTTCAGGTGCATGCATGTGGTGCAGGAGGAAGCTCTACCCTAGCTTGGATTATCAACACACCTTCCTGCTGCAACATTTTGGGTGCTACAGCCTTCAACCCTCATCAAGCTGTTACTCCCAACCCAAGCTGGAGCATTAACACGAGGAGATGCTCTTTCAATGGCTCTTGAAATACTCCCTCTAAAAGCAGCTGGTTTAAGCTTCGGGAAAACAACTCCAAGCAGCTACCACAAAAGCCAAACCCAACCCCATAAACCAGAAGGATTTTGTTTGAAGGACCTGGGAGTTAACTCTCCCACCACGCCTCCGTGGCCATACAAGCTATGCTAAATGATTTCCTTTGTTTTTCAGTCCCATCTGTGTTGCTCAGGTGGCCTTTCTGTGCCTGAATTTGGGAGACCAAACGCTTCCACTGAAGTATCAACACACCATTACCTGAGAAGTGTAAGATCTCCCCTGCAGCAATGTTTATTGCAACTGCCACAGCTCCAATTATTTGCTGTCATGCTAATTTATACTTTCACTCTTCAATAAATCAGCGTTTTAAATGAGCATTTAAAGGCACAGTTGCCACTTGGAGTACATAACATTTGACTCAAGGCTATCTTCCAGTGCAAAGAAAGAGGAAGAGCACAAGTCCACAGAAGCATGGCTCAGTCATAGATGCCTCTGCTCCACTTCCATTCTAGCTGTAAGATCAAAGATGGGTAACAAAGACCCTGGGGCAGGAGGGGTCCAGAAGCTTGAACAGTACCCAGCTGAGGAACTAGACCTGGGCACAGCTTTCCAAGCACAAGCACCATCTCTTCTCTCCACCACCTGCTTTAGGCTGTTCCCTTTCTCTCCCTGTCACCTCCCCTTGCAGGCCACACCAGATACACCACACCAGCCTCTGCTGTCTAGCTTGTGAGGCAAGGCCTGACACCTACTGCAAGAGAAGCTCCAGCATCACTGTAGAAGAACCCCTAAGGTGTTTTTATGACAGTTTGATGTCAAACTTTCAGTAGGTGTAACACAATCCCATACTCAGCTTTCTGTCTCCTTGCCCCAAACCTGTGTAACCCAAACCTTTACAAGTCCCAAACACGAGCCTGAGCTCCAACATCCACGACTCAGGAGCTGTAAGGTGGTACAAAGAAGG